AAAAATTAAGTATGGGAAAAGTAGGTCGCAAGATTTAGTAGGTCGCAAATCGCAAAATTTTCGTACCTATAATAATTTTTTCGTAATCAAAGGACAAATACAAGAACCCATTTTTTGCTTTTTTTGAAAATTTAAATTTTCTTCAAAGTTATAGCATTTTAAAATTTCAGAAATAGAAATCCCCTATTCATTTAAAATTCACTGGTGTATATACTATAAAAGTAATTGATATTCTGTAAAAAAATTAAAAAACGGGTTCTTTTATTTGTCCTTTGATTACGAAAAAAAATATAACACGAAAATCTTGCGATTGGTTTTGGATATAGCTGGAGGATCAAAGGCCATTTTGAAAAAAATATTTCGCAAATGTTGCCTGACTTTATTTTGCCCAAGCAACATTCTATAATATGAGCCTAATAATAGTCACGACTTAAAATATAATTTGGGTCCCAGCTTTTATAACCGAATTATAGGCATTTGAAAATCCACCAGCCGCCACTGATTATAACACCCCAACGCTCTACCCGATAAAGTCCAAAATCTAATCAGAACTAAACCCCATTGGGGTGAACGTGTGTACCAATTTTAAGGTTAATAGCTAAAGGCATTTATAAGATATCGCACCCACAAAATATGTGGACAGGTAGACTGGCAGACAGACAGAGAAATTTGTTTTTTTTTTTTCAAATTGAATATCTCAACGTTCCAGATAATTTTAAGTCCACTTGAGCAACAAAAAAGTTACAATACTTCCACTGACATTATGTGGACGTGAAAGTAATAATTAAAACTCAAAGTGAAAACATGAAAAATGTTATACCAAACCCGATGTATTAAAATGGAAGGTATTTAATCACGTTTCACAGGTGTCACGTAATGAATTAATTTACACATATAAATGACAGTTGTGACCTGATTAGATATGTATGTATTCCCGCAAGAGCAGTGTCCTCAGAATGACGTCAGCGAGCACAAGTCGATGCTATACAGCGGCGGTGGTGCCGGTGGTGGCGGTTCGTCGGCCTGAGCTGCCATCCCCTGCTATTCACCCCTCCCTCCACTCTCACTTCCGTCTTTCTATGTTCCTTTGAAATATATCCTTATTTTACACAAAGTTGAGAGGGTAATTAGGCCTAGGGGAAACGAATTTTAGGATTTAAGGTTATTTATGTTTTAGGAAATAACACCGCTTGCCATGGAATCCGCTGAGATTCAGGATCAGGTCTATCTGGTCGATATGTTAATGTTCTATTTAGATTTTTGTATAATTTTTCTGGCTGTCTCTAAAACAACTTTCAGCCGTCTAACAACGAACAGATCGCACTACATAACTACAAATATTTTTCTTAATAAAATGATGTCTCAAAGTAAATAGATTAATCAAGAGAATATACCTGGCATTGAATAATTACGAGAATAATAATTTTTAAAAGAGGTCCTGGAAATTTGTTGTTACCAATTTTAAAGAATCTAGTTATTGAGTGACCCAGCGTGATTATATCGCAAAAGTAAAACGTTTGAAAGTCGTTTGAAAGCTTCTGAAAATCAACCGAGAAATCAACGCAGTTGAAACAACATTATTTTTCAGTAATTACGATGCAGAAAATATTATTCAAAGACCATTAAAACATGATAAATTATTAGGTACCTACCTATATCGTTCAGACAGATTGAGAGCTACAGAAGTACGCTGGTATCAGGTTAATACTTTTTAATATTAAACTCAATAGGTATATTGAGATTTTTCTTAATATATTGACTTTTTTCTCGATATGTTTAGATTTTTCTTAATATATTGAGATTTTTCTCAATATATATATGCCCTGTTTTTCATATTTTTGAATAGATTTGAATATATTTTTTTGGGATTTCAAAAAATATATAGTTTCTATAGGTCCTATATTGTTTCTTATAGGTAGTTCACGAGATATTTCATGTTAAATTTCATGTTATTCTCGCATTGTGTTAAATCAGACGCAGATTGGGGAAAAAAAAATTGTTGGGGGGAAAACAAAAGAAAAACCGGGGAAAAAAAAAAAAGGGGGGAAAAAAAAAAAAAAATTTTTTTTTTTTTTTGTGAAAAAAAAAAAGAAAAAAAAAAAAAAACTGGCCATGCCAGATATTAAATTTTAGCAAAAACTGACACTATCAAAATCTACAGAAAAAATGCTACTCTGTACAGTACAGTACACCATTACAATGATTTATACGAATACTGCTGAATATTATTTTTGATTTTTATTGTAATAACCAAGTATTTTGTCATAAAGAAGTACTTTATTTTTACAATTAACAAAATTTAGAAGTGTGGCTCGTTGGTCTAGGGGTATGATTTCCGCTTAGGGTGCGGGAGGTCCCGGGTTCAAATCCCGGACGAGCCCAGCAAACTTTTTTTTGTTGAATTTAATAGATCAACAAGAATTTTTATAATATTATGCAGGAATATATGACATTTGACGCCAAATTTATTATATTCCTGAAATAAATGAAATCTGTTTCAGTCGTCTACAATTTTCGTAAAATTATGGGAAAATTATTTATTTTACACTGTTGAAAGGTCTGTCTCAGCAGCTTGTTCCTAACAGATTTAACCTACGTTGGTTGTTCAGTTGATTTTTTAACCTTATTGGGAAATATTGATAAGATAACTGAATGACTGTTTACACCTGCGTATAATAAAAAAAGAAACCATGTTAGAGGGACATTTTTTATCGGTGATACTGATAAATTTATAAAAGAACTATGCACCTTTTCTAATAATTGTTTTATCAATTTATGCCAAAATGTCACATTGGCTTTTCGATAGAAGTCAAGACATCTTTTAAGATTCCACAACTTTTCCAAGAATTCAGTAGAAAAAAAGTGGCCCATGAGGGGATCGAACCCGCGACCTTCGCGTTATTAGCACGACGCTCTAACCAACTGAGCTAATGGGCCATGTTTGTGTGGGTTTTTGATAGTGGTAGATAAACAACATCTGCTAATTGATATAGTTTACTTATTCATCAGATAATACGGATGGCAAGATGACAGTAGTATAATAAAACGGAAAATCCTAGACTAGGAACCCTCTTTTCTAGTTTAAGCGGAATACTGGTAAAAATAACTTTACTTACAAAACAATCGGTTCCCGCGAAGTTTTGCGACCCGTCTGTTTCTTGAAGTAAATTGGGACCATAGAAAACCATTATAGTATACATAATACATATATGGTTTTCTATGATTGGGACAAAACAAGCGTTTCACACAGCATTTTTTTCGTCTCCTTAGACTTAGTTTGTGCGGGTAAAGCAGTTTTAAGGCCATATATGCCTTCTGAACGTTTTTTGTAACTTGCCCTCTGAATCTAAGATTTTCGCCGAGTATCAGTCCCAGGTTTTTTACAGAGTCGTATGTTTTTATTATTTGAATGCCATTAATGTTAAGGTTTAATAGTTCAGACACATTGTTGCGATCTTTTTTTTTCCAAATATTATAACTGCTGACGATGATGTCTGCTGACTTATTAGGATTGAGTGTTAAAGAATGATCCGCAGCAATATCAGTCAACTTTTTTTAGATCTGCATTAATTTTGAGTTGTGCATCATTATAATCTTCTCGGTTAAATGAGTAATATAGCTGCGTATCATCCGCATACATACGAACTGTGCAATGTGTGAGATATGTTACAAACTGGCTAGTATAAATTGTAAACAGTAAGGGTAGAAGAAAATCATTGGTAGGATTTAGATTTGCTTAAAAAAAATGGGAACGGACATTTTCTGCATTGCTGTTCCCAGAAAATCCATTTGCCGTCGCGTTAAAAAGTGAAATATGGGTTTTTCGTGCCTTCATGGTCAGTAATTGGTCGGAACTTTGCAAATGTGACTCAGATGCGTAAATACACTCACTTTCACACACCCAATCACACCTACACGCAAAAGGGTAAATATAGAGTGAAATTATATAGGCAAATCTAACTAGCGTTACGCAGGGAAGGCGAAATTGAAGAGCCAAACGCACCGAACTCTTTGGGGAAAACGGTCGAGAGGAAAAAGAGGCAAATCTATCTAACGCAGGAAACTTAACACCCTCTTGAGTTCAAACTTTGACCATTTTCCCGTCATGTATACCGGGTGAATCTTTAAAGGGAGTCATATTTTCAGGGGTAATAGTACTAGTTGTAAGGAATATAAATCCTAAATAAACTTTTTCTTATATTACCAACAATGGGCGAGTTGTATTTTTTTTTAATTGTGATTAAAGTGGATTACCGGCGGCGCCCCTGGGCTGGAATTATTTATGAAGTTTGGAATTGTGAAGTTTGACACCTACTCACAGGTCAGAAATCGCAGAATCCACGGAAAATGTTTTTCTGCAACGTCCGCAATGCGCCAGAAATTTGCTTTGCACAAAAAGGTTTCTAAAAACTATACTAGAGTTAGGAAATAAATGAGAGTGACTCACAGAGAGCGTTATTTCAATGGCCAAGACGAAAACATCGGCTTTGTTTTAACCGCGAAAGACCTTAGACAGCGGGTATGAGTCACTCATTTATTTTCGAACTTTAGTAGTTTTCATGGATTTGTCCATGTTGGGATGGTGGTAGCGAGAAATTTTGGTCGAAGGCGCGCGTACTATTAGCAGTAGCAATCGTGTTCCGCAACTAAGATTGCAATTTTATGTATTGTAAGTTGCAGGTACACTGTAAGTAACATCAAAGTTTGTAAATTTTATTTAAAATGAAAATAGGTTTTGTTCCATAAACAAAAATTTCTTAGATAGACTTGAAATTGTCCCTGTTTGTGGTCACCCAATTTAGATATGACAACAGACATTAATTTTACTTGATTTTTAAAATACACTATTTAACTACCATGGCAAATTATTAGAGGATAAAATATTCTACGATTTATTCATTTTTAGGCATTTAATTTTATATTTAGTACACCGTATATTACTTTACGTAGTTGTATATAAATATTTCGAAGATCGATTCCAGTCAATTTCACCGAAAAAAAGTTGGATGAGGGTATCGAACCCGCGACCTTCGCGTTATTAGCACGACGCTCTAACCAACTGAGCTAATGGGCCAGTACGATTCTGTTTTTTAAAGCCTCAATAACAGGGGTAATTCCTCAGAGAAATAAAAAACATAGAGATCGTATATAACCTAAAAGCCTATTGCATACATCTAACCACATTCTATCGCCTGGCCAACATTGTTGCCAGTAGCTTTTCCAAATATAGATAAGTTCATATTCCTTTTATTTAAATACATCATCAAATTATAATCACAAAGAAAAATATTTTAATATGTCCCACAAATATGAAAAAGCTTACCTGTGTTTTCTTTATTTTTTATTTTTTTACCTTAAAATTAATAAACTGAAGTTTATTTATTTAGTTTCTTGTCAAATTTTGTTTGATCTGACAATATGGTTGATTCTCTTGTCATATTGTAGTGACTTATCAAAGAAATATAAATATCTATCTATCTTCTGCGCACGGTAGTGCACTGAGAGAAACAGAATATGTACAGCTCTCATTTCGTGGTTCTGGTAATTTTGCAATGTTGCCTTACAGAGGACTGAGCAGTTAGAAGTTGTCAGCCAAAGTTTTTTTTAAAGATTCTGACAAATACTTCAGTTTTTGGGGTGTTATGTTGTGTTGTATCTTTATTTAGTGCATTATAATGGTTAGACGATGTCAAGTCTGTAAAATACTGGATTCTTTCAACAGTGAATTTTCCTCCACAGGTAAGTTTGGTTATGTTATGTTGATGTTGACCAGTGGTGTAGATTTACTATAAGTTTAGGTTATCATTTTTGTATTTATTTTTACATTTTTACTTATTTACAAGAAATAAGTACTTAGTTAAATAAGAGTAACGAATAGTGTCCCTAACAAAAAAGGGAAAGTTCTTGAGGGATTATTGAGAAATTGATGAATAATTATTATTTCGTTTTATGGTTTTTAGCTTCCCAAAAGACCAGCAGAAGACGAATATGGTTATGCCTTCGAGGGTTTGGCGGTGATCAACCGTTACCTAATCTTGCCTACCTATGTTTAAGTCATTTTAAGCCAGAGGATATACTTATCAGCTCTACTGGTTCTAAAAGATATTTGAAGCCTGATGCTTTTCCCTTTCACTACCATTTCCAAAAATATCTGATGACGGTGATAACTTAAGGTATGATTATACGTACAGTTTTTCATTTGAGAATGTAACTAATATAATTCTATTGGAAAACAATTAGATCATGGATCAGGTTCAACAATAAATGAGACCCCCACAAGACGACTAGTTGGGTAAGCATTAATAATGCAATTAATTTTTTATTATTCCAGATACTAACTTAGTACTTATTTAGTAGAGACCAGTCCAAGCCAGGCATTTTAAAAATGCAATTAATTAGAAAACTGATTATTTTCAAAACTATTCTGTTAAAAATATAATTTAAATATTATAGATTACCAAAAAATCCTTATTGCAGAAAATATAGTATAAGATTACTCCAACATCACAAGAATATAATATAATGCTTATAATATGTCTGTTATAGCATGCCTTGTAGACCAAGTACTTCAGAGTGTGGAAAAGGAAGTGAACCTCATCTTATTCAGTCCTCTACATCCTTAACATCCACAGCTTCTAAAGCAGAGGAACAAATACTTAATTGGTTAAAATCACTCCATGACAGGAAGCAAAGAATATTGTGGGGCCTAATTCTGGATTTAAAGGAATTCTTTTATGTTTCAATTAAAAAAATATCTAATAAGGTCTGAGGTAACCTACCTCTGAGGCCCCTTTTTTAGCTAGCAAAATTGTTTATGGGGCGGCAAAATTTTTATTTGCACGGGTTGGCAAAAACCCAGAAAAAGCCCTGAAATTACCCATAGATTTTCTTCAGGAATTTTCCAAGATTTATTCCCATAACAGAATTTTTTCTAAATTTTTATTTAAAAAAAAAACACATATTTGGAATACTTAGAAAGTTCTATGTGAAACTAATTTATAATGCAATAGAATACTATTGAAAAGTTCCGGGAATTTTCATAAAATGTAAATGTTTTCCTCTAGTTTAAGGTGTCGCGTCGTTTAAACTGAAATGTTATTTTTTGTTGTATGAAATAAACTATATTATCGTTTTCCGTGTTTAATTTTTTTCATTTTTCAAAATTAAATATTCTTATCCCTTACTTAATAGGCGTTATTTGTAAATTTTGGATTTTTATATTTAAATTGTGATTATTAAATTAATTTTATTCTAATGATGTATCGTTAGGGCCTATATAAAACATTAATTTTCCAAATTATTACTTTGAAATTGTACCCTTCAAAACTACACGTCTATGACCTCCATGTAGAGTCAAGGGATTTACATTTTGCAACGTTGCCTTACAGAGGACAATAACATACATTTCCTTGAAGATGGGGAATTTTTACACTTAGACTGTTCTTAGTTGTTGGCAAGTAAACAAAGGGCGAAGCAACAATACAATGCTATCTCTATGTTTTTTATTTCTCTGAGGGTAATTCAATTACGACAGTTGAAGGGTAATTAAAAAGCCTTTTAAAGAAGTCACATTCACCTTTTAATCTCCCTGTTCTCTACTAGAAGGCGTTCCCTTATCAAAATCGCCGGTCGCTTTTGGTTAGTAGTTCCGTAGCTAGGGGCCGGTGCCCCCTGAAATGTCAATTTTTTTAGTCGGAAGTTACTTAATTAAGATGTTTTTTAGGATTAGAGCAAAGTTAGGACTTTTATAAACCGGTAGTAGGTGCTATATAGGTAGGTTATTTTGTTATATTTTAAAGTTCTTACGCGTTAATTTGTTATCTTTGTAGACAATTTATTAGTACCTATCTCACATAATTACAAATATTTTAAATACAATATACTGGGACAAGTTATGTAAACTACCGTTAAAAAATAAGTTTAACGTGACTATTTTTAGGTTAGGTACTAACGAGAATAGGACGTTTATTTTTTAACATAAGATCAGAAATGAATTTATTAGTGGTAGTGACCGTGGCGTTTTAAACATTTTGTGGAAGTTCCATATCTATGACTACCAGTTTACCAGGTTTTTCGTTCTTCTGAAATAAAACATTTGCTGCATAATCTTTAAATTAAAATAAGTATTACCTTAGTAAACGTATCTATTTGTTTGTTTCTTTGACACAAAATTTCCATTTTTCTCTAACATTATAATGTTCACAATGTTCACACCTTGAGCAAGAAATATGACCGTCTGACGTCACCACTAATGCTGCGTATAATATGGTCTTTGCCCCATAACTTTAGACATGGTTCTTTTGAACCAATTTAATGCTCCAGTAATTGACTAGAAAGATGGCCTGCGTTCTAGGTCCAACAATGCAAAAGATCTATATCTGGGTTATCTAAGAAAAAATCAGATCAGTAATTTTAATGATCAGTACTAACTGCTCCTAAAAATTACGTTCAGTTACACCGTGAATTTAAAATTTTATAAAACGTGTGTTGAGTATTTTTAATATCAACCAACATCGAATTAAGACGTAAAAGCTACATATGAAAATTTATATAAAAGGCAAAATCCCATTTTTCATGTATCATAAAAGTAAAATGGCTTTATTAGCCGCTTTTATTCATCTCGCAATAATTTCTGTTTAGCAAAATACAAGGCTTTTTAACATTGACAAGGAAAATGATGACAAAAAATTTAATGATATCACATTAAAAGTTTCGCAAGACCTTTTTTATTTTTTATCATAAAGAAAGATTTTTTTTCATTCCTGATGCTCGTATTTACCTCCCACGCATGATGAAAGTTCTTCGTGAACATTTTTAAAATAATGTTTTAAAAAAAATATTAGGTATGTAACAACTGTGAGGTCTGTATTGTTGGATAATAAGGAACTTGTCAATTTGTTTTTTTGTTTCAATGTTATTTATAGTCCAGGAGGCAGTGAAATTTTTTTCGTACTTATTTTCCCAGTCGGTGTATATGAGTTAATCTGTTCTTTTAGTGACAAAAAACAAGAATTTTTGAGTCTGGCTAACATTTTTGGATGGATTAAAAAATAAAAACACAATGCAAGTCCACTTATTTTCCCAGTCATAAATATTTTACATTTACTAAAGTGGAACATAAAGCTTTATGAAAATAGCAGTCTGGCTTATCTCAGATAGCGGAAAGTGAGTCTGGCTGAAAATTTGCGGATTTCAAAATTTGACGAATTTTGCGGATCCGTAACCCTTATTTTGCCAGGCTTGAAATTTAGCACATAAATTGATACAATTCTAAACTGTAATTAAAAATAAATCTGGCTCATTTAAGAAATTGGCAAATCAGTCTGGCGGCATCTTCAAAATGGGAAAAATAGAAAATTTTTGCTCTTATTTTCCCGGATTTGAAAATTTGCCGCATGATAGATTATACTATAATTTCATAGAAAATACACGTCTGGCTGACATTTACAATCACGAAGGCCTTGCCAGACTCGCAAGCCAGGTAGTTAAACGAGGAGTGGAATAGCAGCACGGGTAACGACGCTGGAATGCGAGTTACCTGAGCGCAGCTGCCTAGACCCCTGTCCCTTGTATACCCATCTCTGTATTCAATTATTTAATGCTGTCATAAAAAAAACATGTACGTATGACACCTGTATAATTGAACGTGCCGAATTCAGCGCGCCTGACAATCATTGACGAGTCTGGCAAGGCTTTAGGGGTGTTCCACATTAGCCAGATTGTATTTTAAGCTGTTATTATAATATAGGCCATCATCTGATAAATTTTCATGACTGCGAAAATGAGGGAAATTTTTTTGATGAAAACTTTTCAGTTTTTCACCTGCCAGACATATTATCCATACTCACAGATTAGCCAGACTATTTTTTTTACTTAACTTCAGTATACCACTTTCTACTAGAACTATTTTTATCACTGGGAAAAAAAGGGCAGTGTATTCGTATGTTCTGACGCATTTTCCGCCTCAACCCATCGAAAACCCCTAAATATATATGAATTTTGCTTAGAATTACTAACCGAACAATTCTATCCATGTTTGCTGACTGGGAAAATAAGTACCGAAAATCGTCACTGCCG